AATGCAAGTGGCTTCCCTTGCTAAGTTAAAACTACTCCAATCCCATCTTTGGAAGCATCAGATTCTATAATGAATGGCTCATTGAAATTTGCCATGGCAAGTGTCAGTGTTGTAGTCATGGCTGCTTTAAGAGCAACGAAAGCAATTTCAGCTTCATCAATCCACCCAAATTGCCCCTTTTTTAATAAATTGGTGAGTGGTCTCGCAATGATACCATAGTTGCAAACAAACTTTCGGTAATACCCTGTAAGACCTAAAAATCCACGAAGCTCAGAGATGTTAGTAGGAATTGGCCCATCCACCATAGTTTGGATTTTCCGTTGGTCAACCTTAACACCATCAGGAGTAACAATGTGACCCAAATATTCTAGTTCTTGTAATCCAAAAGCACATTTGGAAAATTTCACAAAAAATAGGTGTTGCCTCAGTATTTCAAAAGTTGTTTTAACATGTTCAAGATGCGAATTCCAATTAGGGCTATAAATCAAGATGTCATAAAAAAAACTAATATGAATTTGCGTTGGTACGAGCGGAAGATGGAGTTCATGATGGCTTGGAATGTAGAAGGTGCATTATAAAGGCCAAAAGGCATGACCAAATATTCATAATGGTCGTTATGGGTTTGAAATGCAGTTTTATGTATATCAAGAGAATGTACGCATACTTGGTGATACCCTGTCCGTAAATCTAATTTATTGAAGTAAATGACTCCATGGAGTTTGTCTAACATATCTTCTACTATGGGTATTGGAAACCTATCTTTAATGGTGACAGCATTTAGTGATCTATAATCAGTACAAAAGCGCTAAGAGCCATCATTTTTTTTTTTTTTTACGAACAAAACAGGGGAAGAGAAAGGACTTTTGCTAGGTCTGATTCGCCCCAATTCTAACATATCTTGAACTTGTTTTTCAATTTCAGCTTTTTGAAATAGGCATACCTAGAGGATCTTACATTGATAGGCTCAGTTCCTTCCTTTAAGGTGATTTGATGGTTAATTGCTCTTTGAGGTGTTAACTGCGATGGCTCCGCAAATAGATCCTTATAACATTCCAACAGTTTGGTCATCTCCAGATGAAGTTGCGGTGTCGCTGTTAGCTCAGGCATTTACAGACAGATGGCAACTATGGAGCTGCCTTGTGCAACTTTGGAAATGGTGTGATTTGTGACTGACTGAAGAGTGGAGCATTTTCTCCTTGCAATTTGCAGTTTCAACCATTCCACTGAAACTCCATAGTTAGCTGTTGCCAATTGCAAGTCACCATTCCTAATTGTGCAAGCCATTGAATTCCTAAGACCACATCCAATCCCATTAAAGGTAGTGCATAAAATGTAAGGACAAAAGGATTATCTTGGAGGAAAATTTGAACATCATTAAATCGCCCTTAACATCTTAATGTTTTCCCATTGGCAACTTTGACGCAAATGCGTCTATTGGGGGGACTGGTAATTGTAGGAGGTTAGCAAGTCTCTCACTAATAAAATTGTGTGTAGACCCACTGTCAATCAAAACCACCGACACCTAGTGCCAATTTTTGCCAAGATCTGCATTGTTATGAGTGCTCCATTCGGAAATTGCATGTACCGAAACTTCGGGCTCATCTGGCGATGAACTTTCAGTCTCATTTTCACCGTCACAACCTTCTAGCAATAATAAGTGGGGACCTTTACACCGGTGCCCAGGGGAGATTTCTCGTTGCAATTAAAGCTCAACCCCTGTGCTCGTCGTTTCTGCATCTCATCCCACAAAAGCCTCTTCAAGGTAGTTGTGGTTCTTGTCTTTGCTAAAGTAGATTTGTGAGTGTTACGGCTGCTGAACCTTGTAAATTTTTGTTAGCATTGCAGTTGTTCGTCTCTCATGCGTGCGAGGCTAATTGCCTTCTTCAAGGTCTTAGGTTTAAACATCCTTATGCCTTCAACTACCTCAGTTTTAAGACCTCCTATAAACGTACCAATAAGAGCCTTTTGAGGACCACCCATGAACTTTGTTCCCCAGTCTTTCAAACTATTGCTGATATTCTCGCAAAGGACCTAATTGTCTGATTTTGGATAAGGCCTCATCAAAGTCTTCACAATCAATTGGCCTAAACCGAGCCCAAATCTCCTCTTGAAACAGCGTCCATGTTAAATCCTGTCATTCCTCCTGGCAAGAGCATCGTAATCACTATCACTATTAGTTAGCCTCTCGTCCAAATGGAAAGAAGCTAATGGTATTTTTGTGATTCCACGGTGTTTTGGTATTTAAAAAACTAATCAACTTTGGCAAGCCATTCTATTGGATCTCGGCCTGAGAACCATGGAAATTATAATTTTGCCAATTTCAAGAAGAACAGTTGTCGACCTCCTTTGTGTGCTTGTGAAGAGCCTCCTGCAGATTGATTGATTACAGGATGAATTAGTGTTCGATTGGTAACAAGTAAAGTAGACATCATGCTAATGGCTTCTTCTAATTGTTGAACTTTGTCGTTCAATCACCCTTCCATTTGAGTGAAGTCATTTTTTAGCCAAGAATTCAATGCATTCTTCGTTGGTAGTCATAGCTCTGATACCACTGATAGTTCTCAGTCAAAGCCATAGTGGAAGTGATTATTCTACATAGGGTGAGAACAAAACAACAGTTGAATTTGGAAATAAGCTTGCCTTTTATTGACAGCAAATCATGGTTTAAATACAAATGAAATTCAACCACTACTCCTATTGTCTCGCACACGATTTGGAGTAATAGGCTAACAAATAGATATAAATAACTGTAGTGATCTTTTTAAAGGAAACAGAATATCAATCATGCAGCAAGCTTTTAACCACGTGCCGACTAAGTTGACTTTATGGCCTTCGTTGAAAATATTTGAGATTGCTTTTGGGCACATGTGGAAACGACGTGGCGCATCATACATAATTATATTTCTGACATAATTAATAATGTATAAAAATTATGAAAATTGAGATTTGACGGAATTTGGAAATGAAAGTTTTTGGGCAAATTACCTTTTCTATGGCTCCTGACATTTCTAATTCTATTAGGCTGAGGGGTTAACTATTTTTCTTGACTTACACCCTTCAACAATTACTTCATTTTTATGAGACAACAAATCATTTGATCCAAAAACTGTTAGTTGGGTATTTTGTGGAAGGTTATTATTAGCAATTTTTGAATTAAATTTTATTATTATTTAAAAATAATTTAAATTGTTGATTATTTAAAATTTATAAAATAATTTATAAAATTTTTTATTTAGATATTATGAATTTGACTTTGAATTTTATATAATATATTCATAACAAATACATAAATTATAGTTCGAAAAAACTAAATAGTATAACACCCAATTTTTTTAAAAAAATATTAGCAAGTACAAGAGATTCTAGAAATCCTCCATTATAAGGGTTTTCTTATTTTAATTACAGTCTAAAATTAGGTCTTCAATTTTTTAAATAATATATAATTATGACTTTCTTTTGTCTAAAACTCGCTATTATTTAATCTATTTAAATTATATATGTTAAATTAATAGACATTAATATAAGAATTTTTTATTTTCCCTTTATTTTTCTATGTTTTATATACATAACGTTAAATTATATTGCACTGCTAAGTAATTAAGTTATGGAAAAATTATAATTTTATCATTATAGTTTGTCATAAATAATAAATTTGTCTTTGCATTCTGAAAAATACACTGTGATATCCCTTGACTTTTGATCCTGTACATAATTTTGTTCTTCCATCCAAAATTTTCCATTTTTTAGTACAAGTCAATGCAGAAAGTTCCAGTCAAACGAGAGAGGATATAAATTGTCCCCAGAACACGTAAGTATTGTTTAAACATATTAGGAAGCTAACGCACTTCAGATCTGAATCTGTGTCCAAGCTTCTGCATAACTCCATTGCCTATCACAGCAGCCGCGCCGTTGTTGCTTTCACAGCAGCACCGCCATGGCCGCTGCAGTCGGTTTCTACGAAACCCTTTCGCATTAGCCTTGCCCTATCACTAATCGCTAATTATGCTCTCTGTTTTTTGGAAATGCAAGCAAAAGAGTCCTAACTGTAATTTACAATTTTTCATGTCATCTTTTTCATTCTTTTCGTTTGCTTTCTAGGCATCCAAACAAGGAACCAATCATTCTATCTCCATCAAATTCTCCATCTTTTTTTATTATTATATTACTAATTACATACAAACAGATCTTTGCATGCAAGTAGAAGTGAAACTCCGTCTCCCAAATTTGCATATTCACATTCACGAATTACAACTCATTCAAACGATTTCAAAGTATTTCAAGATAGTAAAAAAGTTTACCTTATCACTTTTGCAAAATCAACCGATTCACTTCGTCTTCAGTGCTTGAAAGAAACGCCTCTTTGATTTACTCCAATTTGTAGTTCTCTCCTAAATCTCTAATTTCCCCTAAATTAGAAATATTTTGATATAAGGGCCAATATTTCTTTTCGTTTGTTTTTAACGGCTAAACCGGGGTAAAACGGATGGAAGGATAATATCATATAACGGGCAAATATTAGGGATATTGTAGTGTATTTTTCAAGATGTAAGGACAAATTTATTATTTATGGCAAACTGAGGAGATAAAGTTATAATTTTTTTTTTTTAAATTAAATATATATTATCCATATTGAATTATTTGAAATTATAAAACTTTATCTATATAACTAAACCTAAACTTTATTAATTGAATTTTTTAATTAATAAAGCAACCAGGAAAACTTATCTTTAATAATATACTAAAAACAAGTTATAATATACAATAACAATAAAACAACTCAAGAAAAACAGGTTTATAATTTGTATAAATTATAAAGCCTTCTGAATCTAAACTTGAATACTAGGAAACATTTTAGCATAGCATTAGAAATTGAGATAACACGTAAACTCACCCATAGACTAAACTGACAAAAACTATATATTTTTTTCTTTATTTGAAAATGAGGTATTTCTGACTATTCAACTATTAGATACTAATAAATAGAAAGTAAGGATGTTGAATTGAATCTAATCTTGATTAGTAGGAAACATTTTTAACAACCTAGTCCACGTTCGTAATCGTAGACTATATACAATATGATAAAAGCCAATTACAATGTTGTCATCCCATAGTGTTCCCAAAAAAAAAAAAAAAAGAATAAATGGAAGAAAAAAAAAAAAAAAATCAAACATAGCAATAACAACGCTTCAATCTAGCTATCTAAAACTGATTCATGTCAAACTTTTATTGACTTAATGTTATTTATGGGAAGAACAAATCCAGCTCTTCTTTCCTCAAATGAATATTCAATTACTTCTACAACCTCATCTGCTGGATTAGCACCACAGAGAAGTGCTACAGAGGCTGGGGTCACAGCTGTCTGCATTGGAACAGACAGTGTTGATGGTGTTGAGGGCACTGGAATTGGCATTGCCTTGGGAGTCATATTCTCTTCATCAGCTAAACAAGTTTTTGAAGGAGTATTAAAGGAGTTATTAGTAGGAAGTGTCTTCTTAGATGTTTCCGTATTTGCTGTAGTCACATCTAATATGTTGGCTTTGGATGATCCTGTGGAAGAAATAGGTGAGAAAGGTTTCCTCAGCATTGGTGATTCCGCTTCCTGAGCATTTACAGAACTGAAGGAATGTTTTTTTGCAGGACGACCAGCAATATCCAATCCTCTCCTACCTATATAACAGTCAAAATAATAAAATAATAAAAAAAAAAGGATGAGATTAACCAAAGAATTTTGAACATCCCAAACAAAACTGTCATCTTCTTTGTTACTGTTAAACCATCATACCAAATGTCCAACATATTTTTCTTTTTCATTCCTTTTTATTATTAAAAGTTAGAAATGTCATCTTCAGATTTCTACTGTTATCATTGAATGTGTTGAGTATATATATAAAGGCTTTTGTAACATTTTTGTGCAAACACTATTTGGTAGATTCAATGAAAAAATAAGAGACAGAACCTACATCTTCAACAATTAGAAAATTGTGAAGAACCAGTTGGTGTTCTTCCCAGACCCCGAGGGAGATTGGAGGGCCATTATTGCTCGGTTTCAATTATATCATCTTCAACAAAACACAAAAAGGAAAGAGAAAAAGGAAAATGAAATTTATTCAGCAAAAGGACTTGTGGGCTACTAGCTACTTAGTAAACCTGTAAACTTCACATTTTCAAAGAACTTACCAGCTGATAACGCTGCAAAGCCATCATCCTGATGGTGATTTACATTGTCAGGATGGTGCATTCGGTCAACTTTCTTGCCTGGACGTGTATTTTGTTTAGCCTTGCAGGAGTTGGTTAAATCAGGTTTAGGAGTTTGGAGCATTGTTCCTCCAAGGGAAAGCCTTTTGCTACTTGCACTTCCAGTTGAAACTCTAGAAGCTTTTTTAAGATTCTGAGCCTTTGAAGGGCTTGGTTTTGATCCATAAAGTACCTCCTGCTCTGCTATCAGCTGCCCCTGCAACTTCTTCTGATCCTATAGCAGAAAAACAGTGAGAACAGGTCAAAATCAGTTTACCACGTAGTAAGGTATAGCATATTATTAAAAAATCTACAGGTCCATACCCCTTCTGATCCTATAAAAGAAAAATAGCGAAAACAGATCGAAATCAGTTTATCACTTCGTAACGTATAGGATATTATTAAAAAATCTACAGGTCCATACCCCTTCTGATCCTATAAAAGAAAAATAGCGAAAACAGATCGAAATCAGTTTATCACTTCGTAACGTATAGGATATTATTAAAAAATCTACAGGTCCATACCAACCTAGAAAGCTTTTTAAGATCCTGAAGCCTTTGAAAGGGCTTGGTTTTGAGTCCATAAAATAACCGTCCTGCTCTGCTATCAGCTGCCGCCTGCAACTCTTCTACTCCTATAGCAGAAAAACATGAGAAACAGGTTATTATTAAAAAATCTACAGGTCCATACCCCTTCTGATCCTATAAAAGAAAAATAGCGAAAACAGATCGAAATCAGTTTATCACTTCGTAACGTATAGGATATTATTAAAAAATCTACAGGTCCATACCCCTTCTGATCCTATAAAAGAAAAATAGCGAAAACAGATCGAAATCAGTTTATCACTTCGTAACGTATAGGATATTATTAAAAAATCTACAGGTCCATACCCCTTCTGATCCTATAAAAGAAAAATAGCGAAAACAGATCGAAATCAGTTTATCACTTCGTAACGTATAGGATATTATTAAAAAATCTACAGGTCCATACCCGCTGTCTCCGTCGTTCTTCCTCTTTCTCCTGCCGTAATATGGTATACTCTTCAAGCATAGAAAGAAGGCCAATCTGGAAAAAATTTATTAGCAAGTAGTTCAATTGAATTTCTTTTACCAAGAAGTAAGCAGCTATATGTACACCAAGAAAAGCAGTTAGAACTTACACCATCATATAAGAAATCAATGCCTCTCTCATTTTCCCATGCCATGGTCTTTGAAGCTAATGCCTCCACCATACCTGGACCAACATGAAAAGAGCAGCTTATAACGAGATGAAAGCCAGATTATATAGAGTGATCATGATTGTGGCTTTGCAATGAACAGAAAGCTAAAATGATCAATCAAAAGTAACTAAATAAATAAACACGCAGTAGCATCTCCTTAAATCCTGGTAGAAAAGTTTCTAGGATGTCCAACATTAAAACCAAGCTGATTCTATCACATCTGTGAGTCAAACACAGGAAGGGCATACCTGGAAGTTTATTAACCAAAGCACGAGCTTTCTCAGCACGCTTGAGAGTAAGATGAGTTCCCCTCCCGGCATTATATCGATTTTCATCCTGTACCAACGTGAAGTGACAGTTAAGCAAGAAAATAAAGTAATGATGAAGTATAGATATAAGAATATATTATTGACACTTAACCCTGTTATACTCCTCAAGCCAACATTCCTCCTCGCATGCAGCCAACCATTTCTCAACCTTTTCAAGTATTTCCTTCCTGCTAAAAGCTTCTTCCTTAATATTAGCAATTTGAAGTTCAATCTGCTCAAGGACATTAGCAGGGTCCACGTTTCCTACAACAGTATTGAAAAAAAATAGATGTCAAAGTGATGAAGATTTGAGCAATAGAATTATAATGATATATCATCAAGACTGATACCAGACTCTATGGCTTCTATTGCATAATCTATTGCAGTATCTGCTTCTGGAATCATATGTGTCTTTCTACAGATATCTTCCAGCTCTGACCTCTTCTTCAGAACAAGATCTTTCATCTTGCTTGATTTCAACTCTTCCAACCGAGAGACTTCTGCCTCAACCTGCAATTTAAATTCTCAAAAGATTAAAGTCCAATACAAGAACACAAACGAGTGACCCATATTAAGTGATAATTTTAGGATCTTGCAATTCGGAAATATTCTCTACCCACATAATTGATGAAGTCGTCAGATAAAGTGTTTGGTTCAGTAATTTCCTGTTCTGAGGCAGCTATATTGCAGGTAACATTCTGAAACATTTGCTGTTCTTCGATTGGAGTGTCCATCAAATTCCATAGCTCCAACATTGTTGTTGCAAGATCTTGCAGCTGTAATCAACCAACAAAATGTGATCAATGAAAAGCAAAATGTTTAATTGAAACATTGGCAAAATTTACACCAATATTACCTTCTGCATTCTTTGTATTTTGATTTCTCGTAGTTTGTGTATTGCGGTAGCCAATTTTTGAATTGAATCATTACTTATAAGCCTTGATCCTTCAGAATCACCAAAACTTGGATGAATCTCGCTAATCGTGAGCTTGTAGTCCATACCAAGCACCAAGCAAAGTGAATTTAGAGTATCGAGATGTTCCTGAATTTGCTTCAATCGATCACTCTGCAAAGAGAAAAGACAAATAAGTAACATTAAGACATATCAAGTGAGGCAGTGAAAGGAGATAATGCCAAACCTTCTCCGTTTGGAGTGCATGAAGTTGTCTGTGCAACTCTTCAAGTTTTCTTAAGGACAGATCAGTTTCATCAACAGCCACATGATCAGCGGATCCATATATTTCATTTGAGATCTTCTGTATGTCAGCTAGAACTTCAAGGAACTGATTTCTTCTGTCTAATTCCCTCTTCCGCATCTCCTCAAGTTGTGGAAGAATTAATCGAAGTTCTTCCTTCAAGCTTCCAGCATTTTGATCCGCCTGAGGTAAATACAAATTAGAAATAGATAGAGAACAAACACCAATTTATACCTTGCTGCTTTAAAAGAAGCAGATCAGCAGCTTAGTCTAACAGACCAAATTTGTATCACCTAATTATGGTCCAAACTTAAGCAGATGTGGAGAAGAAGTTACAACTAAAAACATTACTAAGACAAACCTTCAGACTTTTTCAACAAAGCACTCAACATAAATAGCCTACTGATAACTCAGTTTGCTTGTTTCAGGTTAGTTTCATCACAAAGATGCTGCCATTGGGTCATTGTTAATACTATTACATAATCATGTTAAGTCAATCACTATCTGGTAAATGACCATGATAGAAAATTTAGTCAGAAGAAAACCAAATAATAACCCATCACTAGAAAAGCATAAAATTATATTACTTTATCCTCACCTGTCTTATATGTACAGGTCGCTCTCCCATGGCAGAACAGATAGCTGCAAGTTCTGCTTCAGAATCAGCAATTGCTTGTCGTAATTGAGCTCTATTCCTATTTGCTTGATCCACCTTTCTCCTGTATACTTCAAGACATTCTTGTTCAAGCTCAAGAAGCATTTTATCCCTTTCAGCATCCGACTCTCCAACCTCGTTCCAAATTATCTGATTTCATGATGCGGTACGAAAAATGAGGGGGGGAACATATGGACTCTTTTCTCTTAGAAATTAGTAAAGTTCTACAAACCTGCAACTCATAAAGAAGGGATCCACAGATCGTTTCCAATTGTAGGAGAGGATCATTCTGAAGCTTAGACATGTTAATAATGCCTGTGACGGTCCAGAAAAAAATTATGCCAAAAAACAAATTGAAAAGAAAAATACCCATATCAACAGGTAAATACCAAATTAACAATTCATATTTTATTCACAGTAAATGATAAAGAAAGACCTCCAAAAAAAATTTATCCAATTAGTTAATTCAATGTAACAAAAATTTATTCACAGAAGCTGCCTATACCATCATCTAACCTTATTAACAGGAATATCCACACACCAAAATATTAATTTCACTAATTTTTATCATCAAATCAGATCAAAATTGAACAAAATTTCAAAACTGTAGCTATTTCTCGAATCTATGAAAAATAAATAATAATTGTAGGAAATTATCAAAGTAGCAAAATTCTGTAATTTTGATCCCTACATTGCCTTTATAATCTTCCAATACCGTCTGACGGCAGCCAGGGAATAATCGAAATTGAGAAAGGGAAAAAGAAAACAAATTCATTGAATTACTAACACGAATAATCAACTCACTGGCATACGACTCCGAATTAAGTCAAAACACTAATGCTTCTAAGTCGGAGCCATTGATGCTTCACCTGCGCCTTGCAGATTATACGTCCAAACCGAGCTTAAGTTTGGGCAGATCGAGGAGGAGAAGCCGATATCAGGATTTTCTGGATTTGAGAACTTTTAGTCGGAAAAATGTAAATTTTCTCAAGAAAATTGAGTTTGTTTTATTTTCCTGGAAAATTTGGAGTTCCAAATGCGAGAAATGTGGTCTGAATTTGATGCAAAACGATTGAGAGAAAGAGAGAGAGCCGTTTAAGAAAAAAAAGGGACCGTTAGAAGAGCGGCTGTTAAGGATATTTAAATGGCGGTGTGAGTTTATATTCACCTTGGAACCAAACATGTTTTGAATTTCAAATTCCGCGAGGAGACGGTTCCCAATCGGCTGCGGTCATTCTACAAAAATGCATTAAATCTAGACCGTTAGCTTACATGTAACGGACGGTTAGATCATAGATATTGATTCGAAGTTGGAACTTTGGATGGAGTTAGTGATAGACATAATTCAGAAAGTTATTTGACCTAAAATTTGATATGATTTGATTTTAAAAATAAAAGAATTTTGTTGGATTTCGATTTCATAGAAAATTCAAAACTTTTTTTAATTTGATTTGATCTTTATTATATACAATGAAAAAACTAAAAAAAATTGAATTCTGCAGAAAATTTCATTCAACTTAATTTATTTTTCTAAAAAAATTGGTTTATTTGTTGAATTCAATTTGAATCAAATTCACCAAATGCCCTTATTTAGTAGAAATTTTCACTTTCCAAAAGGCAAGAGCCATCTAAAATTAGTCCCTTCATTAAGACTAAAAAATAAAGAAGCCTCTGACTTTTAATTTTGCAATTGATGAATTAAGCAATCCATTTTCTAATATTGACTTTCACAGTTAGATTTAAAATATTGAATTTAAATAAAACTAGGAGCTCTCCTCATTTATAGTTGACTAGTTTTTTAGAACATTTGCTGCACACGGATACTTGTTATTTTTACTTGTTATATAATTTTACTTTTTCTTGGTTTATTTGAAAAGTTTATTATATGCATGATAAGATATTGAGAAAAAACAGATAGACTTAGTATTTTTCATTTAAATATCTACTATAACTTTACATATTAGTTATATCTACTATAACTTTACATATTCGTTGATATTAAAAACAATGAAATACATTATTTATTACAAATATTATTTATACTTGTTCCCTTTTACCTCAATTAATCTCCTTCTCCTTTTTCAAGAGTTGCTGTATTAATAACCGTTTTATTGTAAAATTAAAATCACTATCTTTATTATTTTAAACATAATATTTTTTTTTAATATTATTTATGAAAATTTTGACCGTATTTTGTTACTGAAATAACCCATTTATGAATTTTAGAACTTTTTCTATTAAATTTTAAAACTTGAATCTAGTAATATTATTTTATTATAGCAAATAGAATTTATAAAAGAATAAAAAATTAAAAAAAATGATAAAACATGGAAAACCAAACCAAGCATACATCATTGAAACCCAGCTAGAAATCTAGAAATTTCTATTAATTGGACCAAATTAGTGATTCAAACTGGAAACCAACTATTAACCAATAATAGAGGAGAAAGAAAGTGTCAAAAACCTTTAGCAAATCCTCTCTTCCTGATTCCTCATCGCGCGACCCCCTTCCCCTTCCCCGATTAGATTTTCGGCCACCATCAGACTGTTTCCAGTCATCAGACAATGCACCAAAGTACAACAATGAAGGTCTTGGTATTCGATCGTCTATTCAGCTTCTCTGCGATGCAAATCGAAGTTAAAATGCATAGAACAATTTAAATTTAGATTATAGTTAAATGCATACAATTAAATTTAATTAACTTAATTTTTTTGTATATAACTAGTAATATACCCGCGCGATGTACGGACCGTATAACTTTATGTTTTTTAAATTAAATTGAATGTAATTTTTAACAAAGTTATTGTAATTTATATTTATATTGCTTTAATTTAAATAATTTACTTATTTCTAATAAAAAAAATTTACTTATTTATTTTTAATTAAAAAATAAAAGTTTTTTGTAAATTAAAGGTTGAATGTAATTTTGTAAACAAGTTTATGATTAGTATTTAATTGCTTAAATTTAAGTTATATTGCTTTAATTTAAATAATTTACTTATTTCTAATAAAAAAAATTTACTTATTTATTTTTAATTAAAAAATAAAAGTAAGAATTATAAGGTTTTTTTTTTTTGAAATTCTCAAGTAATGAACTAAAATATTAATTAGCACAATTAATCATTGCAACTAAATTATTTTAATTCAATTGATATAGTTAATTTATTATTTTTTCTCTTTAAAATTCTTATATATTCAAATTAGATGAGGTATAAGAATATTTAATTTTGATGAAATAAAATTTTAGTGAAATGAAATTAATATTTGAATTCTATTTGTCAATATGACTATTATTTAATTTATTTTTATTAATTATGGCTCTGTTATAACTCCATTATTTTTTTCTATAGATAAAACTATTTGATAAAAAACTCAATATTTATTAAATGTAAAAAATATTAATTATAATAAAAAATAAAATACTGTATAATCAGTTTAATATTCTAATATATTGCAAGCATGTAAACCTTAGAAATTATATATTTAAACTAATCGTCTTCTCGCGCTTCGCGTGTGAATATTATATAATGTTTATAAATAAAAATATTATTTTTATTATAATTAATAATTATTTTCAAGAATCCCCAAATATCCAATATATTATACTTACTAATATACAAAAAAATAAAATAAAAAATATATTTTTTTTAAATTCTTGCAAAAAGATCAATATATTGACACATGCACACATAAATCAAGTTTATAATTAAACTTAAATTATCTAATTTTTATAAATATTGTAATAGATTTAAAATAATCTTTTTAAAGACCAATTATTGAATTTAATTTAAAATAATAATCTAGAATTCAGGTATAAATCCAATAAACATTAAAAACTTAAAAAAAATTAATTTTGTCATTAAATATTTCTCTATTTCACAGATAATGACATTAGAAAATGAATTTTAATTTTAATTTCATTAAAAAAAGCACTATGAAAAATGAATTCTATGATTTATGTGGCATCGTGTTAAATAAAAATATAAACACTTAATTATAGTAATAATAAATAATATATTTTTATATAGACACTCTAATAGCTATGGAATAATGTATTACAAATTATAAAATCATACTTTAATTGATAATCGGAAATTGAATACACTCTGTAATTCCATCACCATCATCATCACCATCACCGCATTGATCAAGCTTAAAAATAAAATGCCATGAAAATAGTCTTATATTGTTTATAAAGAACTCATTTCATTTTGTTTAAAGTATGATTGATTTTCTTTAAGGTTTCATTTATATTAAAATTGATGTCTATACAAATTCGGTAATAATGGTAAAAATAAAATGGATAGAATAAATATTAATGATATTGTTTATTATTTTAAAAAAAAAGTTAAAATTTTTTAAAATATTATATAGAATAAATATTAATGATATTGTTTATGTTTTATTATTTAAAAAAAAAAGCTTTAAAATTTTTAAAATTTAATTAATATTATTAATTTAATTAATGTATTAAAAATTTAAACCATTATTAATGATTAATTAAGTTTAATTTAATTAATTATTTAAAAATTAAAAACATTATTAATGATATTAATTAAGTTCTCTATTAATTATATTAAAAATAATATAAAATTATTTCCAACTCAATAGATTAACATTTGCCACATAAGCATTTTAATACTTTAAAATTGTGCCACATAAACTTTTGTGCCTTAGGTTTTATATATTTGTATAAATATAGACTAGTTTTTAATCACGTGCGTTGCACGTGCTCGTTGTCTATACTCATTAATTGTTTATAATATAATGATAGTCTAAATTTTTACGAACACGATTCGGAATTCCAGTGATTAAACACAAGATTTTATTATTCTGGATTGCATTTTTAACAAGAAATGGATTGAATAAAACACCAATAAACAAGATATGAGTAGTGATGGGTGTATTTGTTCATCGCCATGATGAACATCAAGACTTTGAACTCTAATCTTGTCTAATCTTTAGATTAATGCTTTTAATTTAGTGTATTTCATTTGCAAGCACTTTAAATTTTAGTACTTTACTTAACATGCACTTTATTTTAATGTTCTTTGATTTGTGCAAATATAACTCATCTAACTTTAGCTTGGAACATCTTAACATTTACATTCATCATGGGTCCTATTATTGCTTGCTTGTAATAACTGAGTTTAATTAGAAAATTTTAAAGGGATAAATGGGTAGAATGTATTTTAGGAAGATGATTGTAAATCTTTTCTCCTCCCCCTTTTTTGGATGGTTTTATTTTATGCTTTATGTGTTTGATAATATGCATGTTTGACATGTTTTCCAAAATCGCATCAAAATAAATTTTACATCTTAATTCAAGTTAATCTTATTGTTAAATATTGTGAATTAATGGACAACTAGGAGGCCGGTTTAAACCAGGCAGGTTGGTTGCTTAATACCTTCCCGAATCCATACCTAATTTCTTTACCCAAACTCTGATTTAAAACCGAGTTAGTCAATTCTAAAGAATCGGCTAATTCGAGAATTTTTCCTAAAAAGGGTGGCAACTGTAAATGCTCAAATTTTGCTCCTAACGGCTCAATGATGATAAACCGTTTTCACATAAGTTTGGATCGGGATTCTTGATCGCTCTAGTTCTCGAATCAATGGTCTGTGGCTGAGATTATATATGTGTTTAACCATTTTTACTCTTTTGAATTACCATGCGTTTCGTGACGAAACTAGGCCCGAGAAGTGTGTTTAGCCCACTTAGGGCACTTCCTGATGCACTACCTTGATTTGTGTGCCACCGGATCCGATTTGATAAAAATGAGCACGACCCTATTGCGGGGCTCACCAGTGGCATTTCGCTACGTCAACCCTGAAATGGGGGCACACACCCCCATTTGCCTATAAATAAGCATTGGGGGTGTGCTTAAAGGGAGGATTTTTTAGACACTTCGGGAAACTCTTGATTTTTGGAAACTCAAACTAGAAAGCAAAGGAAACTTATGTTTCCCTTTGCTCAAACTTGAGATTCATTCATTTTCAATCACTAAAACCCTTAAGGATCTATTAGAATTCCCATAAACACATCCATTAAACCTTAATCTCAGATCATTGGATTAAGAACCTAGCATTTGGATCTCTTTATCCACTGTTAAACAAAACTTTGAGGAAAT